TATTGACTCAGTACCACCCGTTGTAAGACTTCCAGAGCTATCTGGTGGAGCATTGTATAAGTTGAGAACCTGAAAATGGGAGTTTGTACGGAAAAGAGTCCGCAAGTGATCAAACCATGCGGATCGTTTCTGCTTCCATTTTTCGCGCTCCCGGAAACACATCTGGATGGAGAGGATTAGAGAAGGCGTACATGCTATATACCTGAGCACCAATTGTGATATTAAAAGTCTAGGAAAGCAACAATGCTAGTACCTTTGCCAACAAGTCAATGTGCGCCGGTAATCTATCGGTATAAACTGCACCCGAAACACGACCTTCGTTGATGGCGAATCTGCCGTACATTTCATATTTTTTAGCAAGTTCAAGCACCGATCCCGCAAGAAGTCCTTCCTTCGGCAACTCTATTTCCAATAATTACTTCATGCCAACGAAAAGATACGCTTAAAACAGCACCTGTTATAAATACTCTATCACTGTCATCTTTGTGGATTGTCTCAAGTATTTCTCTTTTGGCACCATATAATTCTTTCTCAATCTTAGCTTTCACCATTGGCAAGCGACGAAGTTGAGAAAATGCGTAAGCAGATAGGCTAAAAGAGGATTGACATGTTATGTCCTGATGACCGAAAAGTGTGTATATTTCCGATAAAATCCTCGAAAATCACCGTTTTATCAGCGGCTCCTCGCTTCGTCTATAAAGTCGAACCACCTTCATATAAACGATTGTTCCACTTATAGCACCAAGTACTAGCCATAACGGATCGATGTTACGCAGGCGATTGTTAATAGCATTGTGTACTTCAGGAACACGGGACGTCATAATAAACACTGCTTGCGAGAGGCCCATAACTGGAAGCTTTCTAAACAAAATTTGCGCTGCAAAGGTGCAAAATTTTGGCCTGAATATTGCGAGTTCCCTTCTCACAAACTATTGATGGAAAAAGAGATTATACTATGAAATAACATACTAAAGAATATTTGAGTTGCGCGTAATGTTTATTCAATGATCAATTCAGTATTCAGCAGCAAATAAACTATTTTAAAAAAGTGAAGAAAATGTATAGTCAACAGCTACATTGTAAGTTGTATGGAGCCACAATATAGAGAGAAAAATCATTAACCCTGTCTATTTTTTGTATGGCATTTGTTATCATTTTATTCAAAAATAGATAGAAATTATGATAAACATCAAGTGTTTCGTTCTTGCCGTCAAATTAAACTGTAACCTAATTCACGCATGATATGAACAAGAAAATGTAGGTATTGATAACAACGAAAATTAGTGCGACAGAGGAGCAGCAGATAAGAATGCGGGGACTTGTAGTGAACAAACAACAGCAAATGAACAAACCAGGAAAGAGCACTGCTCTTAGCCATCCTTTACTTGTGTTTGATGAACATCCTTTGAACTAGCGTGCATGCAGGAACGTCAAGAAATAAATTTAATAATGACAAAAAGAAAACGTGATATAATTGCGTCTAACTAGTCCTCATCGTCGGAGCCTTTCTTTTTCTGCTGCCTTAAGACTGCTCCGGGGGCTGGATACGGTCGCTGCTGGAACAGCGGACCTCCAGCAGTTACGTCAGCACCTGTCTTATCGTGAGCATGGAGACCGGAAGACCACTTTCCACTAAGAGACGTGTTGTGTTCAGTGAATGTAAAGGAAAAAAAAA